TTTTAATGGATATTTTGATAGAAGTAAAATGTTTCTTGTGCGTATTTTTTATAAATTTCCGTACTATTTTAGTACTTGGGTTTCCTACTGGTTGCTTGCACCTCTCCAGCAATCTATCAACAATGGTCAGTTGGCACATGTTGTACCTCTTCTCGTTGGCTTTGGGAGGAGGAACGACACAACCCGTCTGTTGTGAACATTGAACGAGTGGCGTGGTTCTAGCAAACTTTGAGAAACCTAATTTTCAGCATTGTATGCAGACCCTTATGATTACAATACATCAGCCTATCCAATCGGGGCATTTGTGTTATTTATTTACAATATTATTATTGTTGTTTGAAATTGATCAATTTTGGCCCTATTTTACATACCATCTTTTGGGGTGAGAGATTTTAGAGTGCAATTGAGAGCATCGCACACAAGTAATGCCTATTGCTTTCTGTTGTGCTGCTTGTTGACAAAACTATGAACATTGGTAGGTGCTGTGGTTAAAAAGCAGAACTTCTGAGGTCTGGCTTGATAGGCGTACTAACTATACAAGAAGTTTGGCTGTCATGAGCATGGTACATGTTCCCCACCTATAGCCTACTTTTTTCAGTTCCATGTCCATTGGGGAAGGTATACTAGACCATAATCTATAGCTCCTCATTCAATCAACCGTTAGACTGCAAGGAAGTGAGCCCATGGTGGGTCATACTCCCTCCATCACTTGCCATCAGTTGATTGGATGTGATGACCCCGACGGGCATTCCTTCCAATAACGTTTTCACAGATGGACTAATTTTATTACGTGCATTGAAGGTGGGTTACCTGCTGGGGTTAGGTGATCGTCATCCAAGCAATCTTATGTTGCATCGATACAGGTCTTCCCTCTCTTTCTTCAATTGAATTGGCTGTCCATTATTTTTTTTTTCCTATTTCAACTTGAAACTGGTTTCTTCTTTGTTTCAGTGGAAAAATTTTGCATATTGATTTTGGAGATTGTTTTGAGGCTTCAATGAACAGGGAGAAGTTTCCTGAGAAGGTGTGTTTTTGCTAAGTTCATAGTGCTGTTTCTTAATTTGTCATTTCTCTAATGCTAAAAACAAGTGATGCAGGTTCCCTTTCGCCTGACAAGAATGCTTGTTAAGGCTATGGAGGTTAGTGGCATAGAAGGCAATTTTCGATCCACTTGTGAAAATGTGATGCAAGTTCTAAGACAAAACAAGGACAGTGTCATGGCCATGATGGAGGTAACTCAAAAACAAACCAGATAGTTGTTTATACTAATTCTGGAAGCCTAACTTGTTTGCCTCTTTTTGTAGGCCTTTGTCCATGACCCTCTGATAAATTGGCGCCTGTTCAATTTTAATGAAGGTCCTCTTATGCCCAATTTTGTGAGCACTCATGCTCAACCAATTGTAAATAGTGATGAACCAGTACCCCAAGGAGAGCTTCCTTCTCAACCTCTGCGTGGAGCACGGGAAAGGGAAATTCTTCAGGTAACACCAAATTCATATCATAATGTTCTTATTTTGCCATCTACTCAAATCATGACTTAAGTTGTGGGCACATACCATGGTCCAAATACTCACCCAAAAGACATACCATGATCCAAATACTCACCCAAAAGACATACCATGGTCCAAATGACTGTGGTACATACTATGTAATATTCCAAGCTACATCCACTGTCCTTTTCTATCAACAGATGGTTGGATACTAACTTTACCCAATTGGTTGCCCCTGGGGGCCTCTATCCGATTAATCTTCGACTAACCGTTAGCAGGAAAGAATGGTGGATGTGCCCCTAGAGTACCGCATACCATTGTTGATTGCACCATGGTATACCACTTGCACTAAAAGGATCCAGCAATTCAGCTGAATATGGAACTGGGTTCAGCCTACCATTGTTGATTGCACCATGATTGAGGCCTAACATTTTGGATGCCCTTTCTTTTAGTTAAGAGAAATAAATCTTTAATTCATTTAGAGTTCCAAATTCGGCCGCTTTTTTGAAATCTAAGTCGCCAAGTTTTTTCTTTATCAAACAAAAAGTCACCAAGTTTTGAAATCCCAAAAGCCTGTTCGGTTTGTACTTCATGAAGGTTTCTTGGCAAATTTGCTTTAGAATTAACCATATTTAACATTTTCTGTTGAACTCTGAAGGCTGTCAATCAACTGGGTGATGCAAATGAAGTGCTGAATGAGCGTGCAATTGTGGTTATGGGTCGAATGAGCAACAAACTGACTGGTCGCGATTTCTCTTCTGGGTCTTCGGGATCAGTCACGACCACCACAGCTCAGCATGCATTGGACCACAGTACAATGGCTAGCAGTGATACACGGGAAGCAGAGCAGGGATTGAGTGTTAAACTTCAAGTTCAGAAGCTCATTCTACAAGCAACTTCACATGAGAATTTGTGCCAAAATTATGTCGGGTTTGTATCTTACCATGGTCCGATGGACCATGGCTTATGGAACTCCAAGATTACATCCACCATCCATGGCCTCTGATTGTTGGTCATAATTGACTGTGCCTGTGGTGAATGCCCCAGCAATCTTCTGCCCAGTTAATTTCAAACCCTTCAGCAGTAGGAATGAACAGTGGATGTAGCTTGGAGTATCTCATACCACAGTCCACCGAACTTGTGTTCTTCCGTGTAAATCTCCCCTGGCAAGTTACTGCTTTTTCTTGCCTCTTTTGCCCTTTTCTTAGTTGATAGGGTTGTCATGTTAATAGAGGAATATGCCCTTGGCTTGAATGTGGTAGAGAAAAAAGGGTCATTCATGTTGATGTTTGTTTTCACATGGGTGATATTCTGATGTGCTTTATGTTGTTGATTTTCAGGTGGTGTCCATTTTGGTGAGCAGCCAATGAAATTCTGTTGTGTAAATATGTTAAGTGTTGTATATAATATATGGCCGTTGAGAAACAATAACATTATTTATGAGAAATATGTTTTTTATTGTATTCTTCAACCATATGTCTCCCTATTCCAGTTCTTGAATTTAGCTTTGACCAGCAGGGGTGTGGTCGTCAATGAAACCAAAGAGGTAAAACAAGGAAGTTTAGACGATCAGGCCTTAACTACGGAAAAAGAAGAGCACGTATAGCATGCTCTTGCGTAAGCGCATACTGTGCAACTTCCTTGGGCAAAAACGCTACTGGGCTTCTATCAAGTGTTGGTGGATTGACTGGGGTCCAAGGTTTTGGACTGGACCAGATCTGAATTGGGTCAACGCGCAGGGTCGTTTGAGTTGATCCGATTGCCAACCCTAGGTAATATGGCCTACACAATAGATATTAAGGCGCAAACTGCATATCTTACCCTATTGGGAGTTTATATGTGCATTTATGTTTAATCAAAGACACTGAAAACTGGTGAGAGCTCAAAACCGCCCAACCTAGATCGAAACTAGTGGCGTACCAGTCCAAGTCTAAAATCCCCGTAACCGTTATCCATTTTTATCATCTTTTCAGTTTGCATACAAAAGTTCCCGATTGAACAGCAGTCATTAAGCTAATCCGGGTACTGATCACCCATAAAGAAAAAGTTCTTCACATTTCTAACCTTGAAATTTCAATTTCTCAGGCTCTACTTCTGTCCTGATCCTGTTGCCAGCAACCGTTAATCTGTTAATTATTTCTACAGAGGTAGTGCAACCCAACCGTAGGAACCCTTTTGGGTATAAAACCAAATGGTGCAAACATCCACATTCTTTTGACCTTTTGCACAAAAGATTTCATGCTCCCATATGAGCATACCATCCATTTGCTCCCTTGGGCGAAAGTAAAGCTTGAATATTCTTTGGATCCCCAACTTTGGAAAAGTAACTCACCCTCTCCACGTACCTAAAGAAATGGCGTCCCAACAATGAACAAAAACCGTCCGAGTTTTTAAAAGGAAAGATCTAGATATTTCACGAACTCAAAAAATCCATATACATAGATAGAGAGAGAGTAATGATCCTATGAGACCCTTTCACACCCATGTGTAGGACTTCAAAGGATCATCATTAAATTTGGCACAAATCTTTAGAAAAGTCAAGTTTCACACACATATGATAACGTTTCTAGAGATGTGTAAAATTTAATGGTGATCATTTGGGGTCCTATATACATGGGTGTAGGAGGGTCTCATAGGATCATTACTTATATATATATATATAAGATCTAATGAGCTCCATGCTGATGGAATAGTGTGAGTCAAATGGTTCGAATTGAATCTTGGTCAATTTCATGATCATGATTGTATTTTGTATTTAAATTTTAATATATGTTTTTTACAAATTCAAATCATATGAAAATTGGAGCGTGCAATATTCTTATTAAGGCACATCAAATAAAAATATTAAGAAAATTATTTGTAAAAACATATTAACCAAAATACCCCTATAACTTTCAAATGAATGAAGGAGATTGGCATGACTGGCTGACCAAGTTGTTCAACATGTTGCGAACAAGGAAAATGCTTGATGAGTGGTACTTATTTACAACAAAGGAGACATGCATAATTGTGGAATCAAATTTATGAGCTACATTATGAAGTAGAAAGAGAGTATTTGTCCAACGATTAACAATTGGTCTATGTTAGGAGTTAGCAGTCTCTTTGTCTTAATTATGGACGATTTAATTAGGCACTTACACGATAAAGTACCATGGTGTATGTTGGACGGTATAGTTTTGATCGATGAGACTCGAAACAGCGTCAACATAAAGTTAGAACATTGGAGGGATTCTCTAAAATCTAATTGTCTTAAAATTAACTGCAATAAGACAAAATATATATAATGCAATTTTAATAAGAATAAGAGTAGAGACAAGTAAGTAATTAAGCTTTGACTGTCAAAAATATAAAGAAAAAACGCACTTTCGATATCTTGGCTCAATAATCAAATAAAATGGATAGATCAAGAAAGATGTCGCATTTAGAAATTATAGTTGGGTGGGTAAAGTGGAGATGTGAAACCATTGTTTTATGTGTTCACCACATACCAATTAAGTTGATGGGCAAGTATTATAGGACCTTTGTGAGATGAGCTTTGTTCTATGGGGTAGAAAATTGGGCGGTCAAGAAACAACGTACCCACAGGATGAGTGCAGTTGATATTATGATGTTGAGATGGATGAGTGGCAAGACAAAACGGGATAGAATACGAAATGAATACATTCGAGAGAACTTAAATGTGGATTCAATAGACAATAAGATGAGAAAAAATAGACTTGGGTGGGCTGGCCATGTACAGTGCAAACCCACTACAATACATGTTAGGAAGGGTTAAGTTAGTTTAAGTGGATAGCTCAAAAAGGACAAGGGATAGGCCTAAAAGGATATGGTTGGAAGTGGTAGGAAAATATAGGGAGACTTAGGGCCTACTTAAGGGTATTACCCTTAATAGAGCAAAATGGTGGACCATAATTCGTGTAATAGACCCCAATTAAATGATGACCCCTAAACTTTTAAGGGTATTTGGTCAAATAATATTTATAAATTATTTTTAATATTTTTATTAGGTTCGCGTATTTTCAAAATTGGATGCTTAAAATTTCAAATGAAATAGATTTATGAAAAAAATAAAAAATAAAAAATTAAATGCGAAATACAATCCTAACCAATTGGATCGGCCCAAAATAGTATAAATGTTCAATTCAAGTAAAATTTTACAGTCGTGGGAGCAAGGCACACAGGGGATAGG